AGTGCTTTTAAATACAATGAAACAATATAATTACAAAATCTTGGGATGTATTAGAGTAGACATGAGTATTTTAAAATAATCAAGCGACTGTGAGATATTGCTTGGAGTTAGTAAACTGTAGACTAGGTACCACAATTAGCTATTTAATTAAGTTACAATGAGTCGCTAAACAATCTAAAGAAAAAGACACACGAACAAATGATAACATAAATTCTATATTAGCAAAATTGGGTCGGACTCAACAATTTCATATAGAAAAATGGTTGCGTGGTTGATGAATTCCTTTCGTCTCTTCACGAAAAGATCGTTTCTAGGTAAATCATGGTCAACTTGTTTGCCATATAAACTATATAACACTTAGTCATGACAAGTAAAGTTTAACTTCTTTAGAAACATTTTTAAAATATGATTTTATTATAAATTATCGTATGGTCTCCATGGGTCGATGTTATCTTAAATTTCTTTGATTATTTCTCTGAATTAATCTCCATATAGTATAAGAAAAAGAGATACTACAGAATCAAGAACAAGTGAACAACATAGCTAGAGAGAGTTGAAGAAGATGCCTTTTCCCAAATACATTAGTATAACTTTTTTCTCATATTTGTCATCTTTCTTGCATTATACGTAACCTTGTTCTGCGAAATTTGTTCACACAAAGAAAACTTCAAACGAAGTAAGTTGAAATACGAAAATTACGACAATTGTTATGAAGTTACCCGCCGCCAGGTCACCAACCCCTTCACCAAACCGGTCAACATTCTCCGCCGCACCACCGCGTCGTGCTCGGAGTCGTAAGTTTTATTATTATTATTTTTTTCTTTGATCTCCCTTTTTTGTATGTTGCGAAGGAATTAAGACGAAGGATAAAACATATTGATATGAAAATATATTCAACAAGTCGCTTAGATTAAAATAAAATGACGTGGTAGTAAAATCATATGGAAGCGATGTACTGATTTCAAACAAAGAACATGATAATATGTTTTGTTTAAAACAAAAAAAAAAGATAATATGATATACAACGTGTTATCAGATAAAATAACATAATATTCTTAGAGACACATAAAAATCTATAATAAATTTTAAAAAATATATGCGAAACGAAACAACTTACAATTTTGAGATTCATCATTTTTGAATAAAAAAAACAATAAAATTTATTATTTCATGCATTTTCTCTTGATTAATTATGAACTTTCTATGACTTTACAATGAGAAAATGTTTTAAATTTGGTAGAACACTTTCTTACTTATATTTTTTTTTCTTCTAACGTCGATCTTTGGATATCACTATACAAATAGTTGGTGAAATTA